GCTAGCTGTCTCAGGGAAAAAAGTCAGGGTCTCACTGGCTTGACAGCTCTGGGACTTCATTGCTTCCTTCTAGGTATCCCTAATATCTAACCTTATCAGTATTTACAAGTGGAGTTTCTTGTTTTACAAATGTTTTATGAATACAAGTATATGTTACTGATCTGCTAAGAACATTTCTGTTGAAAGTACAATATAAGAAATAAAGTGACATCATTGTCTCATCTATTTTGTTACAATATGCTGAACCTAATTCGTCAAGGTAGGTGAACATAAGCTGAACTTAAGTGGACAACCTAACGAAGGGACTATTGCCCCACCCAAAAATTAGTCAGTGCCCTACATGCCAGTGGTCACAAAAGCCTATTTGTCATTGGCTGTCCACAACAGTACATTCTGGAGTATACTACCAGTGCCTGTTTGCCTGCCTGTGCCTGTAAGGAAGAGGGCAGGGCAGTAGCTTTGGGGGGAAGACAAAAATAGAATGACGACTTGGTTGGGAGGTACACTAACTCCTGCAGCCAAGGAAAAGTCCCAACTCCCCTAGTCAGGCACAGCCTTTATGTCTAATACAACTCGGCTCCAACAGAGAGTCAAGAAGCCTCTGGCTAACTCTGCTTGGCACTGCCCCCTCTACTCTCCCCACCATTTCTGCTTCCTGATCAGAGTTGCTACTTCATATGTACCAGCACAGTGTTATGGTTTCTCTGGCTAGATAGATCTAGGAGCTCAGACCACCAGAATCACTGCAAAAGAAAAGTAGTGGCACTGTTCGATAGCTGGCCCCCAACTGCCTCCCTGCAGTACCTAGGCTGTTAGCATGCTCACCCTGACCGTGTGGACATTCTGGGTTGCATGTCAGCAAGTTCAATTATTTCTACTCATCTCTTCTGGGTAGATACAAACTCAAGGGCAGGCAGCCACAGAGTAGGCTGGATATCTGAGCTCTGGAGATTCAACTTTAAGCTTGTTGCACGCTGAGTGGGAATATGCATATAAAATCTGAATCTGGAGCAGTATTACAGATCAGCAGCTTAGAGACCTTGTGACCCTGAGAATCACAACTCCTTTTCTCTCTTTTCCATCTAAAGATCTAATTACAGCAGCCTTTGAAGAGGTTGAGCCTCGGAACACAGGACTGAAAGGGACCACTGGCAGGGTGACCGCATTCGGTTTCGCCTTGACTGCCCGCAACCAGGTGATAGATGACTTGCTCAGAAACGTTCACAGAATGTGTATTCCACGTGACAGTATAAAGTTTTTCCTATAATCTGTAACAATAAAACTGTAGTAAAATGAAAAAAACATGGCCAAAAAATTCACATGCAGACAAGGAAGAAAACCAACAGCTTAAGAAATATTTTAGGCTCCTTCAACAATGGGAAATTAGATAAATAAATGAAAGTTGCAAATGATCCCACACAAGAAGCCCATATCACACAGGAAAAGCAAAGCAGGATACAACACATCTTATCTGCGGATGCAATCTCATTTGCCTAATCTTTCTGATAGTTTAAGGCTAAGCAGGACCCACCCATTAAGCACTTCAAGATTTCCATTACAATAACATTGCTAATCACCTGAACAATTTGCCTGTGTGCAGCCACTTTTTTACTGGAAGATCAAAAATTATGTCAAAAAGCTAAATCACAACCCATAAAGAAAGATGGTTGTGACTTTAATGGAAACAAAAAGAGCCCTGAAGCATGATATTAAGGCTTCATTTCCCCGCTTCAGACACAGTTTGTTCTGTTGTACAATCTTATCAATAAATACAGCAATTGACATCTAAAAATATCACAGTATAGTCCCCTTGTTCCCTCTTGTGTGCTTGCTTGGCTTTTCTAGAATTTCACCCCTCACTGCTGCTTAAGAACCTTTTTATAGTGCCTCATCTAAATTTATCGATGATGAACATATATCTTCCTCACTTTATTCTCCTGAAGCATAACACATCATCTTTCTTGCCTTTGTAACTAACATACTTGTAATTGGTGGTCAATATCAAAATCTAGAAAACAGATGGCTCTCCTCCCCCTACTTGCTTGGCTGGAAGAATACACGATTGACTGAAAGAGGATATACTCCCTTTTGACTTATGTAATCAATAAAACATGACTTAGCTCAGCAAGGGTATGGTAGTATTTAATTGCCTTAAGACATATGCTCATCTTTCCTTTTGCAGCTATAAAAACATGAACTGAAACAATAAAATTCATGTGATTCATTATCTTAAGGTGAAAAGCTCTATTTTTGTGAAATCCAGCACTGATAGGGGCTCAATTTTATGAGAGCTTATAGGCTCAAATATAGCAACTGTTGTGAATCTCAGCTGATACCTGCATTAATTTACATTTAACTTTAAGACATTCCAAATAATTTGTTACTAATAGTGGGTTTAACAGCTGCTCATGTAAATCATTATGAAAGCTTTTAAATTACTGGATTTATTCAAGTCTTCAGATTCTTTTTTAATATTCAAACCAAAACGGATTACAGTCTGTTTATCCTCTTTGCCAAGGTGCCTGCAGAACAAGAAAAATAGTCAGTCATTTCTGTGTGAAACACATAGAGCATGATGTTCCTATCAGTGGCATAAAAAATAGGTAAGTGAATCCATGCTTCAAGCACAATATGAAATTGCAGGAAACTGTAATTATTGAGTCAACTGTATTAACTAAGAAAACTCTTAAGCATATTCTGAAGCTTTTACTCTCTAGGAAAAGAACTTAATCACATAAATTTCACTGATGTGTAAAACTTTTTAGCTTCAAAGTAAAGAAAACCCAAACAAACATCAGAGGTTAAAAAAAGGTTAGGAGGACTCTGTGCCTAAAACATTGTGTTGCATAACGAATATGCACCTGAATATTTTCACTTTATCTCACATGCAAGAACAATAAAACCAAAGTGATTTTATCATATTATTAGAAATATTAAGAGAAATTAGACTTGTTTGGTGTATGAAGGGCTACTTATAGGCAGTTAACTTACAGTAAATTTAAAAACCTGGACATCCAGACGTATATTTACCATGTATTACCATAAAATTTAAAACTCAGTAATGACTTATTCACCTGTTTTAGTGTATGCCCAGATAGCAACTTTAATTAATTTTAAAAATGCACATGAAATTAATTGTGTTCTTCAGACTTTGCAGGATTTGAATCTACTTGCACAGTTACATCTCTGCTACCCATGTTCATCCTTCTCAATAAGCATACATCAGCTTTGTAGGCATGTAAATAATTATCAGTTTTCATGGTTACTGTACCTCCACTACAGTATGCTTCTCACAACTCAAAAGTTACTGAAGTCTTCATAATTCAAAACCATTTTAAAATAAGTAATAAAAATAGTAGCAAACAAAAAATAAATTGCATAATTCTCAGTCTCAAATTCTTTTCACTCTCTCTTTAAAAAAAAAACAACCAAGACTGAATACTACTGCTGAGTGACAAATATTTAAGACAGCTCAAATAAAACTTAGATCAACAGGATCTCTTACTTGTGCATCTAGAAAACTGTGCTCCACCATGAATTAAAAGTTGCTTGGACTTAATTTCATTCTGTTAGTACGAACACAGTCATGCTGAATAAACCTAAACAGTTGTCTATATTGGGAAGATATTCCTGTGTTTGAACACAGCTATGAAGAATTAAGTAAGCTAACATTACACTGATTATCACTGAAGAGACAGAGAAAAGCAAAGCAAACTGAGGTCATCAGTCTGTCAGGCAATGTGACAGTCTTGAACTGTGTACCATAAGATTTGTAACACGGACCACTTAACCCTAAAAATGTTTGCTTTGTGTATTACACTTTAATTTTTGGGCTTCTTTCATACAGATTGTCTTTATGACCTTTTTCCACTTAAATACGCAAAAGTTTTGCAAAAGCCTTACGTTTTCTCAGATGAACTGGTTACTTACACAACAAAAATACTATCTCCCCTATTGAGGAGGACATGGGAGGTGGAATTGTGATCAAACAATTAACACTTTTCTCTAATTAGAACAATGAATCAAGATACCCAACTGTTATAGCTTTTTCTTGTTGACAAGTGTAAGTTTTACGATGTCAGCAAATACAATTTAAGACCAGCTTTTTGGAATATTTGCTAATTAGAAAGTGGATGAATCCACCTCAGGTACAATTGTCATACAACCTCGTTACTCATCCTCTTTAAATTTTGTCACAACAGCGTACACTCTTACTATAGAAACCCATTCTTTCTTAGGACAGCACAACACTATCATTACAGATATTGAAATTACTATAATGATTTTTTTATTCCCCTTAACAGTTAACACATACTGTATTTTGGATTTTACCTTTCAATTGATTCTAGCTGTGCTCCCACCTAAGTGAACTACAAAGGAAACTAACACATTTGTTGAAACAAAGCTAGAATATTGACTTGTTGCACAGTGTTTATTGCAGAAACAAAACAGCTGTGGGCATTCTTAACACTTGTACTGTGAGGTTACAATAAAAAAAATTATCTGGAATCACAAGACTCATTTTCTTATATCTACGCAAGAACTAATTTTTAAAAGACATTTAAGGTACTGTGCACAGACCTTTTCCTAGCCTACATAGGCAGGGCATAGGCAGCATTGTCATTACAGAACGAGACAAGATGAAAAAAAGAGAAAACCAATCAAAAACTCAAAAAACTTTGTTTGAAAGTCAAGTTTTATTATTAAAAAGGTACAAGTAAAGGCCAAGGATATTTTATTTGTCTTCTTATTCCCAAGACAGGAGAAGGTATGAGGAGGACTCTGTGTCTATATTTCACACAAATGTAGGGTGAGTATAGTTTGAGAGACAGGTTTTAGGGGTAGATAAGATGCTTAAAGGAGCTAAATTAAAATTCAAATATAGTTGTATGACTCCTACAGTTAGGGATTAAAAACCACCATTAACTGGCTAAAATGGTGATGCATTGCCAATTCAAATGAAGGCATTGTTAGAAAAAAAGAACTGCTGCAAGGCCTACCTACAAATGAGACAGGACTTCCTCTAAAAGAAGCTTCAACTAACCACTGCCTTCACATGGAACAGCAAAGCTGTACAAATCTTCAAGCCAGTATGTCACCTTGGGAGCTTGATATAGCTCTTTTCATGTCTGCTTCTGCAACTGGTATTTCAGTGATCTTGATGCCTAATGGAGAGTTACCTGCATGAAAAGATAAAAAAGGGAAGACTGATGAATTAAGTCCCCTCCTTTCCTCACAACTGCCCAGTCAAAATCGGATGGATGATGTGTCCATGCAGGGAGATTTTGCTTCCTATCAACCTTCAGTTAACTATTCTTGCAGTCAACAAACCATAAGAGATGGGTTTACTCTAACCTCACAGTTTGGTTTGTTTTTTTTTTTCCCATTATTTTACTCTTCCCTCACAGCTTTACATAGATTTGTGCCTTTCTGTGTATGTCTCCAATTATGACCTGGTGGTAATATCATCCCTGCAAATCTCATTACAGACATGCAAAAGGTTTCCGAGGCAGTGCTGTCTGAAGCGTCAGTTTGGGAGGAACTCCCCGGTCTCACCCGCCAGCAGCACCAGGGGCACTGAAGAATCACAGAATGGGTAAGGTTGGAAGGCACCACAGTGGGTCATCTGGTCCAAGCTCCCCAGTCGAGCAGGGTCATCCCAGAGCACACGGCATTCAGATTGCATTCAGACCGTTCTCGAGTATCTCCAGTGAGGGAGACTCCACAAGCCCTACGGGCAAGAAGCTTTATCCTCCAACAAAAGACGCCCCACGAAATGAAACGGAGTTTGCTTTAAAAGCAGAACACAGCAAACAGAGAGGTCCCGCTGGCCCGGCCCACGGCGCTCCCGCACCCGCTGAGTGGCCCCGGCCCCCCCTGCGTCGCGCCCTGCCCGGCCTCTTCCCGCGGCGGCTCCGCTCGCTCGGCTGCTCCGGCCTCGCCATGTCCGCTTCCAGCTCCTCGGCGGCCGCGCTGCGCCCGGCCACTCACCTGATCTTTGACATGGACGGGCTGCTGCTGGGTGTGTAGCCTGCGCCCCTCTCCCCTCTGTGCCGGGCCCCCGCGCCGCACGGTCTCACCGCGCCGCCAGGCCCGGCCCGGCCCGGCCTGGCTGTCCGGACAGCGCGGGTCCGTAGCTGGCGGCGGGCAGCCCCCTTCCCTTCCTCTCCTCCCCTTCCCTCCCCGCCTCCCGCTGCCTGAGCGGGCCAAGCTGCGGGCGCTCATTTGCGGCCTTCTCGCTCCGGGCAAGGGGCCAGAGCGCCCCGGGCGGCGCTGCTAAAACCCGCATGAGGGGATTAAAGCAACAGGAAACGATCTAATTCCTTCTCCTCCTTCCGCCATCCGCTGCCTTTCGGGGGCAGATTCCGTCATGAATTAAAAGATCCGAGGCTGAGCGTGAACAGGGCGCTTGCTCGGGATGGTGGAGGGCTGAGCGAGGTTTTGGGGAGAGAGGTGAAGGTCAGGTTGGGGTTGGAAGCCAAAAGAAAGCGGGTATGGAGGAAAATGGGGATCCAGTGTGCGGAGCTGAGGGAGCCCCGGGCCCAGCGCTGGCAGCAGCGAGACCCAGGCCCAGGGCTGGAAGCGCCAGGGCAGGACACTGCTCAGCAGCCTTTGGGGTCACCACTGCAGCTGGAAACCCCCGTGACAGTCTTCTATCACGGCTTTTGTATCAGTAGACTGCCTGGTTTGCAGGCTTATTCTGTAACCTGTGTCCTCCCGCGATACAGCTAGATTGGATCTTGGGGTTTGAATCGTCATTATGACTACGACAGTATTTAAGGCTGTTTAACTGTTTGCTGAATCAGGACCCTCTGCTGAGTGTCTCCTGTGGAATAACAGAGTATTTTTATATGTGACTTGGTTTTTGAAATAGTTCATGTGGGTTATCGCACAGGAAGCAGCATTGGATATGGGTGAATTCTTAAAAGGTGTGAACTTGGCGTGTGTGCCTTCCTTCTGCAAAACCCAAATTGTTGCAGTTTCTGGGAAGACTGGTGTGAAGTCTGATGAATTACTCTCTATTTCCAAGAAATGTGCACTTTCCTTTAACAGGTGAAGATGATTCACTTATCAACTTTTAAAACAGAAATGACATTTCCCATGCTATCATAAATATTTTTAAGTATTTTAGAGCTGTTGGGTTTTGTTTGTTTCATCTGCACTCTTAATATGCTATGCAAAACAGTGATTGAGTTATTTTAGTTCCGTTTTCTGTTTCATCATTGGAGTCTCAAATAGCCTGGGGTTATATATATATACACACATACATAAATATATATATATATATATATATATACACACACATGCATGTGTATATATGTATATTATGTATATATTTGTAATCCTGTAATCCAGAACCAGTTATTTTAATTTTGTTCTTATTTAGAAGTTTCAAGAAAGCTTTTTCAGTTACTATTGCTTTTTGTCAGAAGTTGAAAATCAGTTTCACACAGAGAATACTCACCTGAACAGGACAGTATTGGTAAGTTATATGAGTATTTAGTCATTGATATGGATATGTAAGATTTCCATATGAGGTTTATAGAATCATAGAATGTTAAGGAGTTGGAATGGACCTTAAAGTTCATCTAGTACCAACTCCCCTGCCATGGGCAGGGACAGCTCCCACTAGAACAGGTTGCTTAAGGCCTTATCCAGCCTGGCCTCGAACACTGCCAGGGTTTTAAGTGAATTTATCACGCAGGTTAAGTGCTTTAGCTTTGGACAATATTCTAGGAACAAAAGGCATTTTTCTCAGATGCTATCCTGTTTATATTTAGAAATTGCCTTTCTGTAACATTCCAAACAGGCAACACCAATACCAGTCGAGGTTCTGAGTCATTTTTAGATCTCTAAACTCTTGGGGTTCATACAGTGAAGAAGGATTAAAAATGCTCTAGATTATGAACTGCGCCTCATACTGGAAAAGTAATTATAAAATATCCATAATTCTTGGACATAAAACTTTGCCAAGATTGAGACACTTGAAGTATAAACCTATTTCTTGCTGTTATTAAATTTATATGTTGTAAATTTCAGCACCAGATAAATACTTTGTCACTTTCTGGATTTCAGTAAAAAGACGGACATAAATTATGGCATTTTGTGTGCTTATATAAAAAATATATTTACATGAACATTTTATGCATGCTAGTATAATTTGCTTTTTTATCCCTATATATGAAGCGTCCTTTGCACTGATAAATACTTATTCTGTTTTCATTCCCCTAGTTACTGTTATGCTAAGTGGATGTGATTGCTTCTATTTAAAAAAGTTGCATATAAAGAGCGTGTTGTATTTCGGAAGTCTTTTCAGCTGCAATGAGTTAAACTGAAAATACTCTTTAAATAACTTCCAGTACAGAGGAGCAAAAGAGACACCACCTTGATGATTTTCATAATGTACACTTCATTTCAGAGGACCTGTAGTATGTTTCAGCCTCTAAATACTATCAGTTCTGTCACAAGTTTGACATATTTTTTGGTGAGCCTGTTTGTTTCATGATGAACTGTGACTCTTAGGAGGTAAAAAGGCGGTCAGGAGACTGCTTGGACTTTTCCAAGATTTTAAATGTTTCAAGAAGCTTGGAATAATTTTGGGGAAGGAATGAAATAAGGGGCACACAAGTTAGATACTGCCCAACCTGTCTGCTGTAGATCTTCTGAATAAGACGAATGGTTATACTGATGTAAATCTACATGAGAAATAAGAACCCTTTTAATTTTTTAATGAAATTTTAATGTGTCACATAGTGTTCATTGAAGATACTAAAATGGATAACATAGATGTTTTGGGAAGCTATAGAAATATGCCCAAAATGACTTCATTTCAAAAAGCTTGAATTTGGTATTGGATATTTATATATATACAAAAATTTGGTACTGGATATTTAAAACTACACTTTTTAAAGTACCTCCATAGTTGGTTGCATTTTTCAGAATCTAAAGCTTTAGGTTTTTGCAATAATTTTCACAACAAAGTAGTGCCTGAAAATGCGTGTGACTATTTTTGGAAGTTTTCACCTAAACTTTACTGATTTTTTAGAACAAATATAAATTGATCTATAAACGGTGAAAAAAAAATTGAGCATTAAATTCATCTGATGTAATGTGCCATGAACTTGCTTTCTGTAACTGACATACTTTCTTCTTATTAAGGAAGGTAGGATATTTTCTGATAGAAAGATTTCCAAAACCTTTAAGAGTGTAAAATCCTTAAATGAGGTCTGAGGAGCTTACAAGGTTCCTGACTTTGGAAACAATCCAAGTGTTGCCCTATAAAACCTGTATCCTGTACTTTAGTGGCTAAGGCTCAGCTGTGTGAAAGTGTTGCTGAGTCTGATCCTCTGTTATTTATCTCCCCCGCTCTGGTTAACATAATTGAGGATGATTAAGTTGTCCTTGAGTCCCACCTTGATATATCAGTTTACCCTCAATAGGGAAGTCCTTGCCCCTGAATTGCCTGTGAAAGTACTTCACCCCTTTTTTTTCCGAATCTTTCTGTATCATTGTTTCAGGTGTTATCTAACACCTTTTTCCAGCATGTATAATCAATGCAATCCACCCTTCCTTTTTTTTTTTTTTTTTTTTTTTTTTTTAATTACCTTCTCTTTCCAGCTGTTGGATGAAGTCTTAGGGTTTTTGTCTGTTGCTCCAGTTGCCAAGAAGTTTGACTGGAAAGTAATGCTCTCATTTTGTAAGTAAAATATATGAACAGCACCTCTGGACTGTAGGGAACTCCAGCTGTAAGAGAAAAAACAGCCTTTGTGCTAATGTACTACAGTTACGTCCTGCTGTATTATACACAGAATATTAGAATATCTCAAGTTGGAAGGGAGCTTAAGGATCATTGGGTTCAACTCCCTGCTCCTTGCAGGACTTCCTAAAACTAAAAGGGACTAAGAGCATTGTCCAAACACTCCTTGAACTCTGACAGCCTTGGTGCTGTGACCAGTGCCCTGGGAAGCCTGTTCCAGTGACTGATCACCCTCTCAGAGAATTGAACTAATGTCCAATCTGAACTTCCCCTAAAGCAGCTTCATTTGTTGACATAGTTGATTAGTGATGCACTGTGTATTATAAACCAGAGGAAAAGGAATAACTAATATTTTAATTTTAGTGTACTCCTGTACTTTCTTTTTTTAAATAAAAAACCTCGCAAAGAATAACAACAAAAAACCCAACCAAACAAAAAAAACAAAACCCCAAGCCCCCACCACAAGAAACCCCAGCACTTCAATTAAAGCGTTAAATTTCTAAAGTTAAACTTCTGCTTGATTTCCTACAGCAAATAATATTAAATGCTCAGAATAGTAGATTGCTTCTTCTTAAAATACTTTAGTCTTTTCCTACAGAAGAGTATGGTTCTAACTGCTAGTATGTAGTATAGTTAAAAATATTAAACCTATTTATGTGTGTGCTTATCCAACACACACAGTACAGGGTTAATCTATAATGGTAGTAGTAGTAATAATAAACCAGAACAGAATCTAGATATCTTTGATACCTGAATAAATCCTGTTATAGTTGTACTGTTTGCTATCTGATCCTGGCATTTTAGCATGTTGGAAAAACATACAAAAGTAATGCTAAGGATAGAGAAGGAAAAATCTATGTAATCTGTACAAAATATACAATTAGAGTAATGCCCCCTAGGATCTATCTGCTAAACTTATTGCATAGGTTGTATTTTGAGCTATGATAAGTAGTTTTGTTATGTAGCTGTAGCCAATAGCTACCCCACCACCAAAACACAGATAGGATGGAAAATTGCCTTTGTTGATCTGTACCTAAATTTATAGGGGGCTGAAAATATTTAAAATTCTCTACAAGCTGCATGCACAATATTAACCTTTCCCAACTGACAAGTGAACTTAGGAAAATGGCTGCAAAGATAAGAAGTTTCTTAGCCTTGTGCTTAAAGCTGAACTAAAGGTAAGCCAACATGCACTTCAGTATAGGAAATTTAGTCGTGTACTTATTTTTGTTCAGATTTTGCTAGGAGTAGCGAGAGGGTTCCTAAAGCAGCTTAGCTTTGCAAGATACCTTCACCTTGACTCAAAGTCATGTTGGACTGTACAGGCACAGGTATGCCAGCTTGTTGTGACCATTTGTAGAGGGATGAGAAGTAGTTTAGGCAACTGGGATCAGAAGTTGCTGCTTCTACAGCCGCTGTCTCCTTTGTGTGGAGACTGCTGTGGTCCTGTGTGTCACTGTTAGTCCACTCCTGCATGGTTTGTAATACAGGTCACCTCTGGTCTATACTGTAGAAGAAATTAGCTTGCAGTTAAATTCATTGCGGTGTTGTGAGAGCCACAAGAGTTTTGGCATGTTTTCTTTCTCCCCAGTGTTACCTACCCATTGTCACAAGGTCAGAAGTCAAAAATGTACTCTTACTTTCATTTCATTGCACAAGTTGCCTAGGAGATTGCTGTTATAAGAAAACTGGTGAGAGTTCCATGCTGGAGTTTGCTTATGTGCATGCTGTCTTTTATTTTACAGTGTGAATGGGAGGTTAAAACAGCTTCCTATTTCTTCTTCATCCGAGCAAATAGCACCAATTCAACTAAACATCAGTCCTCTCTAGATTGTCCTCTATTATGGCTTAAGTGCAGGAATTAATCTTTTTAGGCTATAACCTGGCAATCTTGTAAGCCTGTTTTCTGCTTCTGTATAGTGGAAACTTACTTTCTTGTCATTCTCCATTTTCATGTGATTTTGGGGGAACAAAGAAGGAAGCAAAAATATTGTCTGTCCCCTGTGTTCTGTACTTCTAATTTGTTGCAAAAACAAAGAGATTAAGGATGTTATTAGATTAAAATACCTCATAGATGCTTCATGAGCAAATTTTGGAGATAACTAAAACAGCTCCTCATTGAGAATTAACTAACCATAAATAGAGTAAATAAGATTTGTCATATGCTTGAAAGCTAACATTTTAATTTAACAGGAAGGAAAATTTTGGCAAGAACATAGCAAACATACTAACCCAGAGTCTGACTTCTGGTATTCCCGTGATTGATTTACAGATTGCCCATCCACATGATTGCCTG